ATGTAATATATCTAACTTAATTTTCCAATCAAGTTTAGGTTCATCGAGGTAGACTTCAAGTTCTAACTTTCTAGGCATAATAGCTTCCTCTTTAAATATATCAAAATCCTATCTTTAAAGCTCATATTTTATTAAGAAAACTAAAACACTAATATGAATAACTGAAAAAATGGTTGTAGTATAGCAAATACTTGGAGAAATTGTGACTTAATGATAGTAGAAGAAAAGCTGCTTGATACATCATTATATCTCCTCTGTGTTACATTGTAACTTTAACCACTTCTCCTTTTATAGTTTGCAAATAATGAAAATAATCTCTCTTACTTTTTTAATTCAAATGTGTACTCACCTTCATACAATCTTCTGTAACACCACTCCACAAATGTAAGCTTATATCGAGGATCTAGAGTAATTGTTATCGCCAATATGTCAACTAAACTCTGATCAGTACTTCTCAAACTTTCTAATCATCCCTACAACCATTCTTTTAATGTAGTCATGACCAAATGAAAGATCTTGTTTTAAAGCTGCAAAGCAGTTGTAATGCATGAAAAGTAAAGATTTGTTGTTGGATACTTTGTGCCAGATATTACACAAGTAATTTCATAAAAAGGAGCCAGAAAGGTACAAATTGCTTCTACTCTCTCCCATTCTGCAACAGCAGGACAAGCTTTGTAGTTGGAATCTCCCAACTCTAGATGTAGAAATTCCCTTCGATAGTATATAGTACTATCAAACATTATGAAAGTAGAGTTCCATCTTGTTGGAATATTATGTATAAGACCTATTTTCGATCTAAACAACTATGTTTAACACAATCTAGAAATTTTTCCTTCCTTGCTTGAGAGCCCTTCACATACTTAATGCTCTCTAATTTTTGATATTGAACTATCAATCTCTTTCTACCCTTCCTGAACTATAAGATTAACAATATGTGCAGTACATCAAATATGAAAAAATGCACCTTCACATAGCAGCCCACCACGTAAATTTAGTTGATTTCTTAAACATTTTTTTTGCAGACGCATTGTCCAAAGTGACATTGAAGAGCTTGGCCTCTATTTTCCATTCAATCACAAGAGATTGTAACTTCTCAAATATCAATATACCATCATGAGGGGGTCGCATGAAAGAAAAACTTATGATCTTTTTATATATGTTACAATCATTATCAATAAAATGCACTGTTAAGCAAATAAACCGTTAGTGTTTACTATTTATAGACGTCCATAGGTCTGATATTAGACAAAATTTGCAAGTGCACTTTGATAATTGTGATTGTATATGAGTTTTTTCTTTAGTGAATAATTTTTTACAATTATTCCTTGCAATATTCATAGAAAATAGTTCTCGACGAATATACGACAAAAGTGCTCAAACACCAACTTATTCAATACATTGGAAGGGCAAATCATGCATAATGATACAAGCAGTAAATAAATTGCAGAATTCTACCAAATCAAACTTACAATCAGCCATAAATATAGATGAATTAGAGTTGGTTTGCAATATAAGCTTGCTTATATCCCGCTAATCTCTTTGCTTGCAATTTTGCAAGTGGCGCCTTAAATTATCAATGTCATTTTTGCTATCACATAGATATTGTGCACCACATTTCTTACATTTACACGTATTTATTATCTTTTACATTAGACAACATCTCAAAATAACCTCAAACTAATGAAATCATCCTTCTACGTTTGTTAAGAATTTTTGAACCATCAGTACATGCATCATTAGATGACTCTACCACATTATCACCACCACCCACTTGCTTAATCTCATCAACAAAATTATCAAGACTGGTGTTTGAATCCTCTATCTAGCCAACCAAAATATGATACAGGTAATAAATAAATATAAAAGATATTTTTTTAAATGTCAAACTAGTTCTATAGTACACAACAATGTAAAGCATGAAAGCGAACAAGGAACAATTTTGATTTCAGTTGCGAACAAAACAATAAAACCCAACCATATAAATTACCCAACAACCATTTGCACAACACTAAAACCCAACTATAAATTCAGCAATATAAGCTAAGCTAATAAGTTCAATAATGTTGATTTCTGCTGCAATAGGCATATAACAACGTTCAGTGCAAACGAAGAGCATAATAGCATATAATAATGTCCGGTACAGGAGTAGAGCCACAGAGGAACTAAAGAACAATTCCAAGTCTACAATAGCATCTAAGTTAATATCATATTTGATGCATTAAGTTACAATGTAACCAATGCAATTATAGGCAATATTTCAAAGCATTAATTATTCAACAAATAAAAAATGAAAAGCCCTAAAAATTCATAATGAAAAATTAAAAAAAATGAAGCCCTAACTGCTTCAATTCAAAACGGCTAAAACTAAGAGGTCCGAGACCAATCTTCTTTTGCAAGGGGTATAAACAAAATATTAGAATAAATAACATGCAAAAATTTCAACATGGTAAGCATTAAAGCAAAAAAAAAACCCTAAACTTAAAAAACTCTGCCTGACAATAACCACTGGTGCTTTGGCTTCTAAAAGATCAAAAAACCAAAACTGAAAAGAGATACAAACAATATTATTTTCTTGAGAGCCGAAGCTGCGACGACTGACAAGAGAGGAGATTAGGAGAACTTATGGTTTATGAACGCACACAACAGCATGAAACTAAGTAACAAATAAGCTGAAGGAATTAGAACTTAGAAGAGGAATGAAGAGTTAAGACGGAACATAAGCGAGGAGAGCTCCTGTAGAGAAACCCTAGAAAGATGAAGGCAGAATGAGCGAGCGGTCGCCTAATGGGAAACAAAACGAATTATAAGATTATAACTCTATAAGTCAGCCCACTGTCCGCTCGCTAGTTACTACGGTTGCCCTAAACATAACAACACTTGTCATTACGGGTAAATCTTCGGTTTTCGGGTTGACCTGGACTTGACTTGAAAGTTGAAACGAGTCAGAAATCGGGACCCAAACTCAACCTGTTTTTCAAACGGGTTGACCATAACTCACAAATTTTGAGTCATATTCGTGTTGGGTCTCCGAGTCATGTCAATTTTGGACGCCCCTAGATGCAGGGGGACTATCTTGAAGTGAACTGCAGCTTACCACCCCTAGAAAAATGGCCAGACAGAGATGTTGAATCGTAGTGTGGAGACTTTATCTTTGTTACTTTGTATCAAATACACCAAAGATGTGTGCCAAGTGGTTAGCCTGGGCAGAATATTGGTATAACACTTTATATCATACAATAGCTCAAACAACGCCATTTAAAATCCTATATGGTAGGGATCCACCTCATTTAATACATTATGGGCATGACAACACACCAGTGGCATCAGTGGATCAGTACTTGGGAGAAAGGGATCAAATTTTGACAGATTTGAAGGAACATCTATGGAGAGCATAACAAATCATGAAGAAGTAGGCGGATGGACATAGGAGAGACGTACAATTTGAAGTTTGTGATAGGGTTTATCTGAAGATTTGACCTTACAAACAAAGGACTTTGGCTTGACGAAGGAATGAGAAGCTCTCCCCTGATACTTTGGGCCCTACGAGGCAGTGAGTGGAGTGTATTGGCGCAGTAGCATATCGCCTACGGTTGCAACTCGCCTCCACCATCTATCATGTATTTCATGCATCACAATTAAGACGAGCAATTGGAGCCCACTAACCCTCGTCCATACTATCAGCCGCACTGTGAGAGAATATGGATGTGATATTAGAACCACTGGAGGTGAAAGGGGTGCGCCAAGGAGACCAGGGGATCAAGGTGGTGCTGATCAAGTGGAAGGATTTACTAGAGTATGAGACGACATGTGAGCCCTACAGTACCATCCAGAAGTAGTTTACCTCTTTCCACCTTGAGGAAAAGGTGATTTTTTGGAAGGAAAGTATTGATGTGGGGCCCACAAACTTTTCATCAGATCATGAACCTTTTAGCTCTCCTACGGGCCCAGGACCTCTTTTATCACCTAGAGGAGAAGAGGCTTTGGAGGGAGCTCTTTGGAAAAGATGTAAGGGGCATTTATTAAGTGATTTGGGCTGATTTGAATTCAAAATAAGGAGAGAAGTAGGAAGGTTTATATGAGGGTTAGCAGGGTTGTTTAATTTTATCATGTTATATATGTTTGTTGTATTTTTCTTTGGAGTTGTTCCTAGTGACATCTAGGGCTTGTGGAGAGTCGATCTCTCGAATTGTAGATCAACTTATATCTTGATTTGTTGTGCTGAAATAAATATTTTTCTCACTGATTTTTGTTGTGTTTTATCTTGTTCTTATTGTTTTTGTTGTGTGGAGAGCAAATTCCTATCATTATTTTTCTCTTTTTTTGGGGTTTTTTTTCTTTGAAAAAGATAAGTGTTGCAATTTGAAATTGCCATTGCTTTTACTGCATGGAGCTTTTTGCCAGAAGCTCGTTATAGTTGGGCATTAGAAATTTGCACATTCAATGTTCTGGTCGGTTTGACACTAAACAATATGATGTATAAACTAATCTTTTGTATTTTTCTTAGGGAACTCTGAAAAACTAATATGCACATCTGATAGTTCAAGTATTACATTTTCAAGTTGCTATACTAATGCTGATCATTTTTTTTTAGACCATTCATTTCACAGTTGCTCAAAATAATTTGCCAATCTCATTTCGAGAAATAAATGTATCATCTCATAGGGTCACAAAAATATTAAATATTTTATGGATATACAAAATGTACTATGACCGGTAAATCTAACAAATGAGATAAATGGATTGTGTCCCATAGTTTTCATTAGTTATCTATTGTTAAACATATGCAAAATGTGCTATGACCATTACACATTTGATGGAGTAGTTTGGATTGTGTTCCAAGTTAAATAAACAGCTTAAACTTATAGCTGAAAAAAAGATACAATAAAACGAAACATAGTAAGGATTTTCGGAACACGTGCCTTGTACAATGTGTTGAACACGTTAACATGGTGTTTGATTTTTATCTAGGGATACATTTGATTTGTTTATTCACTTGCCAGGAGCAGCTAGAGTTCGTGGCTTACCACCAGATCAGTTTTGCCAAGGAGGTTTCGTGCTAGGAAAAGCTTCAGAAGCTGGTTTTGGGAATGAAATGTACAAGATTTTATCTGCTGCAGCACTAAGTGTTATGCTAAACCGCTCCTTGATCATTGGTCAAACCAGGCATATCAATTATCTTAAGATTCTTCTTTCTCCCAAATACTCACCATACTGTATCCGACTCATGCTCTTTTGCATCAATCATTATTGAAGTTTTGATTTTTCTCTGATGCCACTTATCTTTATGCAGCAATTAGTGAACTTCATATGCATCAATGTAAAAATCAGGGGTTATTTTTCATCATTTCATACGAATATTTAGCTTTCTTAGTTTTAAATGTTGTTTGCATTAGTAGACTGCCATAATCTCTAGAGAATTGAGAGTAGAATTAACTCTTAGCAGAAACTTTCATTATTTTTCTTTTCAGGGGATTTTATCCCTTTGGGGATTTTATTTCTTATACAAACCATTCATTTACTATGAAAGAAGTGAAGCATCTTTGGAGAAAAAATGATTGTGCTGGAAAGTATAGAAGAAAATTGCTGATCAGACTTGACAATTTTGAAAGTCCAGCAGAAACAAACATTCTCTGTAGCGACTGGAGGATTTGGAAACAACCTATCATATGGTAAGTTCAATAAAGTATCCTAGTTTAACCATAATATACTCTGTGCAAATGCATTGGAAATATCATTCATGCAAACAAAAAACATCATAAAAAAATATTAAAATAGTTAATACAACAGTAACTTAAATTTTCCAGGACAAAAAAAGCAATATAAACATAAAGAAATAAAATCAAATAACAAATAGTGTTATAACTTAATTTATACATTTTATTGATATTATCATTAAAAAAAATAGTTTTTCTTTGATGCTTTTGCTATACATGCTTTTGCCAAAAAAATAGAATAAGAAAAAGAAAAAAAAATCCTAAAAGCAATCCGAATGGGCCCCAATAATGTTTTTTTTAATAATTTGTGATTAGGTTTTTATTTTCTTTAAATAACTTTATTTATAATAATATTATTACATTGTTTTGTTTTTTATATCATAAGTTATGTTTGATATATTAAACATATAATCGCTTAATGTGATTATATAATATAATATTATAAATATGCTTCTTATATTTATAAAATGTTATGAATTAATATGATAATTAGTCAAAAACATAATTCAATAATTATTTAATATTTTTATATGTTTAGTTGTATTTCATATTTTAATGTAAATTTGAATAAATTATTAAAAGGAAAAGAAATTTAAAATTTTATCGATAAAATTCAAAATCTAGACTTATCCAAAACAGATTAAAATTCAAAGTTCATTATTGGCCTATTGTAATATGATCCAACAATACAGCTTTCGGTGCTTTGATCTATCCAACTTCAGATTGAAAACCTGTATTCACATATGGACCCTTGATAATGTGATCCCATCCGATATTGTGATCGGAAAAATTCTTCTAATAAGATCCTCCTGAATCATGTTACATCACATCCAAATCTTTATGTGATTGGTCAACATTGCAAATTCTGTTCAATCGTTTTTAATTGCTACATTAAATATTTAAATTAAATCAAACCTACAAACCTTCATGAAAACTGTGATCTCTTAATTCAAGTTCAAGGATCAATTTAGGTTCCTTAACTTTGGATTACATACTCATGCTTTTTATTTGTTTGCTCTTATACGCTCAATGTATCTCTTCTTCCAACATTTTAAGCCTTCCATTCACTTTACTTGTGCATCACTAATTATAGCTAACTATTCAAGCTTGTTTTTGGCACATTTAAAAACTGGAACATTATTTCAAAACATTGCAAAAGGTTTTCATTTGCTCATCTATTGTAGGTTACAGGGCACAACCGATGCTGTTGCCATACAGTTCTTTTTAAAGAATATAAATCCTGGAATGAAGAATGTAGCTTCAATTCTATTTGGAGACACAAGATTGCTCAAGTCAAGGCCTAATGTATTTGGAGAGCTATTGCGGTTTATTGTTGCTCCTTCAGATGCAATTTTGGAAGCCATTAATTGGGTTTTAAAAGGAAAAGATCCTGAGATTGCATTGCACATGCGCATGCTAACTAACAGGTGGGCAATATGTCTTGATTTGTGCGTCTTCTTTTTAACGGTTTGGTTTGCACTTTGGTTTTTTGAAACTCCGCAGTATTTTTATTTCTTTCTTGGTGCCGTGAGTATATAATGTTTAATACAGTTTCTTGGGCGGCACAATGGTAATGTGTATGCCCTGTTATTTATGAAGCATTCTCTTATTGCTGTCCTTGGGTAAAATATTTTGCATATTTTCTATGCTTTGCACTAAATTACGAAGCTCTTGAATTTATTCCTTGTTTTTTACTAAAAAGCTGAAAATTTTGAATTTCTTTTGGTAATACAATTGTGGATGCAATCTAAATGCACATGCTGTTTATGGTGATCTGTAATTGAAAATTGTAGTTCTGCATGTTATGTTTCACGATGCTCGTGTATATTCTTGATTTGTAAACAAATGATGTTGTCTTTTAATCTCTTTTTGAAACTAAAATTAGCTTAAATCTCAATTGCTTTAACTGGAAATGACTTTCTTTCTTATTCCTATGAAATTAGGAATTGTGTGCTTGTTTATTATGAAACTGGCATAAGTTCTAATTTCCTTTCTCAAATGATTTATATAGAATTACTGTCTCCTCCATTATTATTGTTAGTTAGGATTGTATCTTATATGTATTACCATGTAAGTCTTTTTATTAAGCTCAGGATCAAATTCAAGAAAACACATTTAATACCTGATTTTATCTGTTCGGCTTTATGTAGGTCTGCACGGGCTGTAAAGGCAGCAGTTATATGTGTTAAAAGGGCAGTTCATAATCTTGATCCCCGTATTGCAAATCCGCGTGTAGTATTGGTTTCAGATACACCTTCATTTATCAAAGAAATCACGCCAAATCTCACTGAATTTGCAGATGTAAGTGAATCAAGCTAGCAAATCATGCCTTTTCTTTAATATTTAATTACTGATGTCACCTGCTAGATGTGACTGGGAAGATATGCACTGTGATACTGAACAATATTTATGATCATAGGATGACCTTTCATCAATTTATTGCTTATTAAATCCATTTATTTATCTTCTTTCAATCAAACAGGTACTCTATTTTGATTACAAGTTGTTTAAGAGCAGCATTTCTAGTTGGAGGATGGATAAGAAAGAGCAGGTAATATATTGTTGCATGATTCTCACTATTTTGGCATCGAACATTGTGAAAATTTCTAACACAAGCTACTAGATTTGGATTCATTATTATTTGACTCGTGTATATTTGTCCAATAAGGCTTTAATTATTAAACTCTTTCTTTTATTGTAAGTCATTTTAATAATCAGCTAAGGATGTCATGACTTATGCAATTATAGATATCAAAGAGCTTTAGTTTAACTGCTTAAGCTGCATGCTCTCTGATTGTAAGGCTAGAGATCATAAGTTGGAGATTGTTCTGTGAATTTCTTTTGCTAAATAGCCCCTAGCTCTTTTCTTAAAATTCAATCTACAAGTATTCGTGTGCCCTTCTTATTTGAAATTGACTTTCAATTACTAAGATATTTAGTATAGATTTTTACCCTTTAAAAAATGCAATTATGAATGCTTTTGTTCTACATGAAAATTTGTGTTCGTGCAGTCAAATTGATATCTATTCGTTTCAAATCTGCACAAGTTGTCACATATGAATGTGTTGTGCAAAGAATATGAGGCTTTGTGTAAAGTTCTATAGAAGGTGCCATTGGTAAACTCATAATTGTTGACCACAAAATGATGATCAGATTGTGCGCATGATCCTGGTGTTTGATCCATGTGTTGATTGAAGAACTATTGGAACATATGAGGCCAAGCAATGTATGGGTCAAGATTAGAAGAGTAACTCTTTATGAGAAGAAATTATTAGTTGCACATCAGTTACGTGGCTCAAGTAGAGAAATTAGTGGAAAAAGGTCACCCGTACTCCACTAAATGCTGCCAAATGACATACCTAAAGGGTTATCCAATACCAGGAATTTGGCCCAATTAAAAGCAACATGTGACAGCATTAGTGGTTTTGATGCTTTATGCGATCTCTAATTCATCAGAGGTTCAATCTCGAATGTTTTCGAATGGTATGTTGAACTCCCTAATGATTTTGCGAAGACATTTGTGAAATTATAAACTCTTTTTGTGAAAAGATTCGTTTGCGTAACTCAGAAAACCACAATTTTTTACCTCAACCTAGAAAAGTGAATAAGGGACAAGTCGTGGCTAAATATATAACTTATTGGTATAATTTGAGCATGAAATATGAGTAATAGCTAAAAGAGGAACATGATGTTCAACAATTTTATTTCAAGTTTTACATATTTTAAAATTTTCAACTAAGTGATTTGCGCAAAATTTATGAAACATAAATGCTAAAGTTGTAAATCTAAAATAGAGATGTTAGCTTCTCTTACTACTATCATCATGATCACCAGCTACTCCCCTCCCAATCATCACAATGCTCTACTTGTAGAATTGATTGACTAGCTACTAACTCTAGTTGGGTGCTCGACCTCAAACCCTCAAGAAGAACCTCAAGAGTATTTGCACCAGTGGAATAGGGTTTTGCATTCCACGATGTGGGATAGTATCATCTAATTCATATCTTCTCATCATTAATGGTGTTGGATAGCAGCATCGTCACCATTAGGTCTATCATGGTCGAGGGATTTAGATGTCCAAGGCGCACCACAAAGAGGACACCTTGCTTGAGATTTTCCACCTTTATCCTACTCTCTGTTTAAAATTGCACAACTAGAGGCGCGCCTCTGCGCAATTCCTCCCAAAAACGCCTCGAAACCTACGCAATTCCACCTCTGTAAGAGGCGTACGCCTCACTGGGATAGGGCCCACTCACTTAAATTGAATCCTTTTCTCTCCTTATACCCGAACGGACCCAATTTTTCCCCCTCCAGTTCGCGAAACAGAGCTCCCGCACGTCGTCGGCCTCCTTCCCGCCGCTTCTCCCGCCGGCGCCGCCTCTCTCCGGCGAAGTTGAAACTTCCGGCCGCCCTCTAGGAGTACTCCACATTGGATTTTAGGTATTTTTATTAAGTTTAGGGTTATATTTTTCAAGTTTAAGAAAAGTGGTACACATCCACTAGCTCTGCAGCACAACAATCAAGTAAAGGTATTCCACAACTTTTTATATGCTATTGCATTACATTTATATCAAGTGAACAATTAACATGCTAATGATCTTTTTTTTATTGAACAGTGAAGAGAAAAATGAGTCATATTGAAGATGATGATGACATGGCATTCATAGATACAATTGGAGAAGAAGATTCACTTGAAGACTCATTTAGTGATGGAATATGATTGCATTTTATGTTTTTTGTATTTTGGGAGTTTTGTTGAACTAATATTTTGTGATTTTGTACTTTGGGACATGATTTTGTTGCATCTACTTTCTTACTTTCCACTATTTTCATATATCATTTAGATGTTTTTATTGTAAGATACAATATTTCTATTATTTTCCTGCAAAAATCCTTAATTTTTTATTTACGCAATTCTGTGTCCGTGAGGCTTACGCCTCAGACCGCCTCGAGGCTTACGCCTCGCCTCACGGACGAAAACTGCCTCGAGGCTTAATTACACAATTTTAAACCTTGATCCTACTAAAGTAATCATGTTTGATATGATCAAATTTGCTCAAATTTTACAAAACATAAATGCTAAATTTAAAAATCTAAAATAAAGACGTTAGTGCTTCTCTTACTACTATCATCATGATCACCAGCTACTCCTCTGTGCCTATCAATATGATCGTGCTCAAGCTCACGCTGAATTATGAGATCAGGAGTAGAGGTCTCTGCAAAGGTCCTCTCCCAATCATCACAATGCGCTATTTGTAGAATCTTCTAACTAGCTACTAGCTTCTAATTGGGTGCTCCGCCTCAAACCCTCAGGAGAAACCTCGGGAGTCTTTGAAGCGGTGGAATAGGGTTTTGCATGCCACAATGTGGGATAGAATCAGCTAATTCATATCTTATCATCATTAATGGTGTTGGACAACAGCATCGTCACTATTGGGTCTATCATCATCAAGGGATTTAGATGTCCAAGGCACACCACAAAGGGAACACCCTACTTGAGATTTTCCACCTTTATCTTACTAAATTAATGACTCTTGATATGATCATGTTAGGCCAATTCAGGCTGAACCGGCCCAGCCGACTCTCATTTACAGAAGGCGGACAAATGCCGCCTCCTTTGTTGTTTTTGCCGCCCAAACAAGTAGGCCCCATTAGGAGCCAATTAGAGAAAGAGGGGGGTGGCTAGGCATGGGAGGGAAATTTGAATTAATATTTGAATTAGGAAATTAATGTATTAAATACTATGAGTTATTGAGGGTTAGGGTTATGCATGTTTTGTTACTGATTTTGGGAGTTCTTGTCTGGGAGTCTTGAGCCCTAGATTTCATCTAGGGATTGGGAGAAAAGATCCTCCTCTCGAATTGAGGCGATTGTATTTTGTTTTTTTTCTTTGTTTAGTTGATTTCATTCAATCAAAGGTCCTATTTTGCTGATATTTTTCATCTAAATCTTGTTCGTTTATTGTTTTCATCTCTCTTGTTAGGGATTATTTGAATTTCTCAAGTATTTCCTAACAAATTGGTATCATAGCGGATTTTGGGACCAATTATGGGCTGATTTCTGAAAAATCAATGGTGATTTTCAGTCAGAAGGAAGAATTTTTCATTGTTTTTTATCAAAATCTTGATTTTTTGAAACTACAAAAATTCCAGATGGCGGCCAAGAAGGTAGATGCATTGGAGGAACACCATGAAGGAGAGATTAGCCAAATCAAAGCAATGGTGGAAGATAGAATTTCATCCGTAGAAGACATGGTTTCATCCATAAAATGCAAGGTTTTCGATCTTCATGAGATGGTGAAGAAGATATTGAAAAATCAAATCCAAATGGCGGCATCGGAGGCGAAAGACCTGTGGGGAGAACGACAAATTCTAAGTTTTGTAGGAGGGACAACGAGGTGAAAATCATGAAGGGAAAAGGTGGAAGGTATGGAGGGAGGCATGGGTATAAGAGGCATGAATCAATGGATGCTGATTGGGGAATAAAAGAAGGGAAATATGAAAGAAGGGGTGCTGATTTTAAAGAAAAGAGTGGAGAAAGTGAAGCATGTCACTAAGTTCAAATGTTTAAGTTTTCATGTCAATTGGGGATCTAACCTAGCTCCTAAAATTTTTCTAAGTTCGCTAGACGGGTCCTTAATTGTTGTCCTTAGGGTATCACTACATTAAGTAGGTTTAAATCAAGTTTTGAACTAACCCTTGGGGTAACAATGCAAAGAATACATAAATAAATAAACACATCAAGTCCTTAGATCTAGGAGAGCCTAAACTAGGTGCTCATGCATCCTACACATGCAAAGTATGATAAAAAAGAAAGGTTAAGCACGCTTAACAAAGCGATTTGTTAATGATTGAGACTCAACCATCCACTAATCAACCTTCCCCATAAATGTTATTCATAAGTAGAATATATATTTAAATTTTCATAAGAAGATCTCTCCAAATTAAGGCATTTAATAATACGTATAATTTTAAAATAATTTAAAATACACATATATTAAATATATAAATTAAAAATGAGGTAATTCAAAATATTTCAATTTAAATTCATACATAAATATAAGAGAGATCTACTGGTCACCCGCACGAGATTTTGAAAAGGGTTTAAAAATAGTTTTTAATTTCAAAATAATTATTATAATAATTTATGTAAACGTTATTTAAATAATCAACTAATTAAATAATACAAAAATATATCATAAAAATAAATTTTGATCACTTAAAATAGTTTTAAAATAAAATAAATAATTTTCTGAAAATAACGAGGTATTATTCATCAAAAACGAAAAGAAAGTAATAATAAAAATAAATAATAATAAGTAATAATAACAGTAATAATAATTATAATTATAATTATCATAATATTAAACAGTAATAATGATAATAATAATATAATTATTATTATTATTCAAAATAAAATAATAATAATAATAATAATATTAAAAAAAGAGTTTTTTTACTGTTTTTAAAATAACTTAAAATATAATTACTATTTTTAAATGAAATTAGTTTTAGATTAAAGATGACTAAAATACGATCAATTTGATATATT